AAACTAAAAAAATTATTTAAAAAATTTCTAATTTCTAAATTTAAAATAATAGTTTTATATTGATTATTGGTATTTTTATTTTTTTATAATAATTGATGTAAATTATATAAGTATTTTTTGTAAATAAATTATTAATTAATATTCACTTAATAATAATAATTTAATTTTTTATTCGTATCAAATTTTTTCATGTATCATTTTATATTATTACTTCTGTTCTTCTAATTTATCATATTTGTTTTTCATCTTTTCTAACTTTTCGGTATTTTTTTAAAGTCTCTTTTCTTAAAGATTAAGTGCTAATTTCTTTCTAGAGATCTTTTTTCTCTATATTCTATTATTTTATTTTTTTCATCTTTTGAAATTTTGACATAACCTCTTTTAGCTTTTTTGCTAATCAGCAGTCTAATCACAAAATCTTTCTATGTGGGATTCTTGTGAATATACTTTTAGCTTAATAAAAAAAAAATATAGTAATATAAATCAAAGAAATAAGATGAAATTATTTTTAATATTTTACAAGTAATAAAATAAATTAAAAATGAAAATGAAACTATCACAAAATATTTCCAAAAGTCTATATTTTACTTTAAGCAGGTATTAGAACTTAATGATTTATGATAAAATATATAAAAAACAAATTTAACATCTATATAAATAAAAAAAAAACATTATAAATTTATAACTACAAATTAAATAAAATAAAAAAATATTATAAACTATAATAACTAATAAATAATAAAATTAATATATTATTTAAACAATTATATAAAATAAAAATATAATAAAAGGTAATGCAGGTTTACAATAAATAATTTTTTTATAAAAAAAAATAATTAAAATATATTTATGTTTAAAAATTAAAAAAAAAAATAATATTTTAATTAACACAATAAAAAAGATATTAATATAGAATATATTAGAAATTTAATAAATAATTTTTTTAGAAATATTAAATATATGATGATAATAGTAAATAAAATCTAAAAAATTAAATATTTAATTATGTAATTATTATTATGAAACATGTAATAAAAAAAGTTTTTTAATTAAATAAATTAACATATATATATATATATATATATATAAATATATATATATATATATATATATTATCTTAGTTATCATTTTTAGAAAAAGACTGTGATATAATATTTACAAATACAAACAGTCAAAATAATTCATCATTATATTATTATAGTAAGATTATAAATTACAAAAACAAAGTTTATATGAAAAAAGAGTAATGATTATTAAAATATAAAATATTTCTTTTTTAAAAAAAAATTACTAATACAGATAATTTATATTACTTATTCAGTTGATGAGAAGCTAAACCTCTTCTCCCCTCTATCTTTTTCAATATTTTTTTAAAATAAAATAATTAATGTAAAATCTTCAAAATATTTTATTTAAAAATATATTAAAGAAATAATTGCTTTTTATTGTAAATTTAAACAATTTTTTTAAAAAATACTTGTAATATTTTATTTAAAGATACTTTTTTTATTTTATTTTTTACAACTACTAAATATAATAAGATAATTAAAATTATGAAAAAATTAATTATCGCTCAAATTTTTGGAGGTAATAATTCCCATCTATTTAAAAATTTTAGAAGGTATCATATCTTCCTCCTTTCCTTTTAATATTTTTTTTATTTGTAGTAGTATTCATAAAATATAATTAAATAAAACTACTTTTTTCAATTTTACAAAAATAAAATTCTTTTATTTATATTGATATTTACACGTTGAAAAAAATAATTCCTTTGACCAAAAAAAAATAAGTATATTTAATAATTATAAGGTTGAATATATATTTATTTAATATACTCTATAAATTATATAATGAATATATATCCGTTTAAATAGTTTACCCTATTAAATATTACTTGCTCATAATTTTTTGGTGTATTTTTTAAAAAATATTATCAAAAAAATAAAAGCGATCATATTTTTAATATGACTTTTTTTGTTTATTTACTTTTTTAAAAAAAATAAAAAATTTATAAGCTAGTAACAAATAAAAGTTATCATATTCATTGCTAATAAATTTATATGGTTTACTAAATAATAATAGTTTAGACGCCCTAAAATTATTGATAATATGCTGTGTATACTTAATAATAGGCTGAACAATATATTAAAAATAAATATAGGTAATTATTAAAATTAGATTTTTTAAAAATAGAGTATTATTACTTCGTTTCAATTTAATACAGTCTAAATATCTTTTATTTTAAATTAAATTTGTACTAAAAATAAAGCTTATAAATTTGTATTATATAGTTATTAATGCATATAAATATAAAATATTAGAAAAAATTATCTCTTTTACCCATTAAAATATTTTTAGAAAAAGAAAATAGAAAGAGAGATCTTCTATTAAAAAAGGTCTATTTTCGATAAAAATGGGAGGGATATAATGAATATAATTAAAAAAAATAAAAAGTAAAAGTATTAGCAAAATAAAAAATGGCCAGAAATAATAAAGAAGAGCAAACAAATAAATTAGTTAAAGAAATTAATAAGTAATTAAATATATTATTAATAATATTTAAATACAATTTTGATAGCAATTAAGGGAATAACGTAAATAATTTGAAGGCTTAACTACAACCTGTTAATTAGATATAATTTAGATAAATAATTTATTAAAAATAAAAGAAAATATTTATAATAGATTTCGAAATATAAAAAATTATCAAACATATTTATATTCGAGAAATACTAAAATAGATTCAAATATAATTTAAACAAAAATAAAATTAAAAATAATTAAAAATTTATTAATTAGAAAATTATATATCAATATATTTAATTGTAAGAAATTTATTAAACAAATAATAATAAATTTTGAACGGCTATAATAATATTATTTTAAAAAAATTAATTGTTGGATAATATATATTATTTTTTTAATTTTTACATATAAAATATTAATAATAATATTAAGTAATAATAATTTAAGGCTTAAAAGTCATAAAATTTTAAATTAGCTCTTTCATTATTATTTATATTACTTTTTCTGAAATTTTATAAGTCTTTTAGAAATAAATTATAATACATTATTTAATTAAGTTTAAATTTGATTTTATTAAATAGATTTTTTCATTATTATTTACAATTTGTTTCTTATTTATTTTAATATAGTAATATTATAAAGAAATTAGATAAAATAATTTAAGATAATAATTTATTATGTGAGTATTATAAATATAAATATAAATTAATATTTAAACTTGCATTTGCAAATATATTTATTTTAAAAAAATAAAATTAAAATTGCAAACATTTTCAATAGAGTTTTAAAATGTAAAAAAGTTAAATTATTTAATAAATATAAGACTTCTAAAAAAGCATATATTAATTTTATTAATTATTATTTAAAAGTAATTAACACAATCTACTTTTAATTTAAATATATATATAGATATATGTATATATATATTAAATAATAAATTAAAATTATTGTTTTGTATTTAAAAATATTTTATAAATAATTTAAACAGAACCAAGCAATATGAGTAAAAAAAAACTAAATATTAATGATTCTACTCCAAGTAAATTGAATACTTTAAATATTTTTATTTCATATATAAATATTTAATCAATTAGGTATAAACTAGCAAGTTAATTTAAGCCATATTTTAACCAATAATACATAAAATATATCAAAAAGAGAAATAACTTAAACATCATGTAAAATATATAAAATATTTATAATTATTTAATATTTTATTTGTTTTAGATAATTAAAAATTACCATAAAATTCATTATTAAATTATTCAAATAATATATCGATTATAACATAAAAGAATTAAATTATTATAAATAGCCCTTTAGCTTATCAAAATTTAGTTTAAAAATTATTTTAATAATAAAAAAAAGAAACTGAGTTAAGAATTTAAAGTAAATAACTTGAATAAAAAGTTTAATAATTAAATTAGATATTACAAGAGAAGTAAAAAGTAATGTTTTATAAAAATACTAAATTAAGAAAAGAGAAAATTTAGAATTTTCAAAAAAGTATTGATTAATTAAAAAAATTCTAATTTGAATTAAATTAATAAAATAATTGGAATGATAATTTGGAAATTTAATAAAATTAAGAATAGGAAGTTTAAACTAATTCTAAGGTGCAAAATATACTTAAATAAATATTAAAAATGCCATTAAAAAATTCCTTTTAAATAAATCCTGATATTTTAAAAAAAATTAATAAAAACAAAACATATGATATATAAAATTTATCATGAGTAAATGATTTAAACAAAAAAATTTTAATATTTTTTTTATTTTTTTATAATTAAATATATAAAATATATAAATATAGATTTTATATTAATTATATTAAAACATATTAAAATATTTTTCAATTTAAATAGTTTTTTAAAAAATTTCCTAACCTTTATAAAAATTCTTCTTTTCCTATTACCTCAGCTATTATTGAAATTGATGGTCCACTATTAAATCCTGAAACCGCAAGCCTTAATAAATGATAAACATCTTCACTTTTTAATGTTTATTATTCTTGTAAATAATTATTTATAATAGAATTTATTTCTTATTAATTAAATAATTCATTATTTTTAATAATATTATAAAAATATTAAATTATTTATTTAGCATTATCATTTTAAATTTTAATATTTTAAAATTAATTTGGATTTTTAAAAAAATAAATAAATTTTGGAAAGTCTTGAAAACTCTAAATACGATCTTTAATAATTTCGCATATTTAAATCTGTTAATCTTCGGTTTTTTTATTTATTTCATTAATATCAATTTTCATATATTTACTCATTTTCTCTTTAAACTATTCAAATAATATTTTATCTTCTTTTATATTTTTATATTTTATTTTTATATGCTATTAGTTCAAAAACAAAAGTTTTTTTTCATTTAATTAACTATTTGCTTCTTTGACTTATTGTATTTAAAACTAAAAAAGAAAAAAAAAAAAAAAATTTATAAGTTAAAAAATTAGATTTTACAAGTTATTCTAATTCATGCATTTAAAACACTTCCTCGTTTTTATTTTTTTCATAATCTTATATCTAATCTTATGGATTCCAACCTAGCAAAGCTATAAAATTATTTATTGCTTAAGGCAAATATTCATTTTATCTATAAAAATCTACACTTGCATTTGCTTCTCTTTTAGATAATTTAGCACCTCCTTTCTATAGTTTATAATATTTTTATTTTTTTAAACAAAATGATAATTTACTTTGACAAGCAAAGGAATATGTGCAAATATTGGGGCTTGAAAATTTAATGCTTGATATAAAATTATATGCTTAGGCGTAGAAGAAATCCATTCATTTCCTCTGATAACATGACTAATCTTCATACTATAATCATCTATTACATTTGCGAAATGATAAGTAGGAAATCCATCTGATTTAATTAGTACTTAATCATCTAAAATACTATTATCTATTGCTATTTTTCCATAAATTATATCTTCGAAAATTGTTTTCCCTTCTGGTATTTTCAACCTAATAGTATATTTTTCTTTATTTTAAATTTTTTAAAAAACTTATTAATTCGTTAGCATTCTACAATATCTATCGTACTTTTGAGGCAATTTGTTTTCTATCTGATGTTTTTTTAAACCTTCTAGACGTTTTGCATCACAAAAACAATGATAACAATCTTCTTTTTAAATTAAATTTTTTATATATGATTGATATATATCCAATCTTTAACTTTGAAAATATGGACCAAAAGGACCATGTTAATCATAGTTTTTTATATTATGTAATTTTGGACCTTTATTTATTTTTAGTTTTTAAGAACAAATAATTTTAATTTTTTTTATTATTTACCTTCATCATAATTGATTTAAAAATAGTTTAAATTTTCTATTATATTTTCTATAGACCCTTCTACAAATCTTTTCTATTAATTTTTATTTTAATTTTTATATCAATTTAGTTACTTACGTTATCTGTATCTTCTATTCTTAATATAAATTACCCATTATTATTTTTAGCAAACAAATAGTTAAAAAGAGCAGTACGTAGACCTCCTAAATGTAATAATCCTGTTGGAGAAGGGGCAAATCTAACTCTTACTTTTTTATTATTTACTATGTTTGAAAAACATTTTTTTATAGATTAATTTAATATCATTTTTTTTTGAAAATTATTATAAACTTTAGCTTATTATTTATATATAAAATCAAAATATTAAATAAAATATTTATTAAATGAAAAGTATTTTTTTTAAATTAAAATAATTTTTTGACATTTTTTTTAAATAGTATATTGTTTTAATTTATTTTTATTTAAGTAAGATTTATAAAATTAGATTTAAGGTAAATTGTTAATAGAGTTTTACTAAAAAATATATTTACTGCTTTATTAAAAAATATTAGTTATAATATTAATAAAAATATGAGATTGTAAAATTATTTTATTGATAAAAATAATTAATATGCTTTATTTTTAATTTTTAGTTTCCTTTATCAAACAAATCAATAAATTCGATAAGGTAACTTTAAAAGTAATTAAATATATAATTTTAACATGTATTTCTATAATTCCCTTTTTAGTTAGTTAATTCTGCTTGATTTTATTCAAAATAATTCTATCATGGGGATTATAGCTTTTAATTTTTATTTTGTATGAAATTTAATAATTAAATAATTAATTTTATCTTTGATTTAAATATATTTCTTTTATTGATTATATAATTTTATATAAAATTTTTCTTCTTTTTTAATTTATATTATTATATATAAATAATATAAATTAAGAAAATATGCTTTAAATACTAAAATATATATTTTTAAAGTAAATTATAGGCATTCATAATCTTAAATAAAATTAATTAATTTTTTTTATTAGAAAATATTTAGTTGAGTATATATATATATTAAAAAATACAAAATATTTATAATTTCACCCTACAACATTATTTAACATTTCAATAATTTATTAATTTTTAAAATAAATTGCATCATCCAAAGGAGTTCTATCCCAAATATCTTTTTCACAGAAATCAAAATGTACAGTATATTTTAAAAATTTAATTATTTCTATTTTATTTTCAGATGCTGCAATATGACCAATATTTCTCTAATCAATATTCTTATATTGATTTAGGTTTTTCAATCCTGTATGGTATAAAATTTTAATAATTTCTAAATCACCTTATAAAGCACTTTAAAAAAGTATATTATTTATATCTTCATAATTAGCAATTAAATTAGCTCCATGTTTTTAAAGCATAAATATTATTTTTTTATTTCTTGTTAATATAGCCTAATATAACGGGGATATCCCGAAATCATCCACTACATTGACATCAACATTTTCAGATAATAAAAATTAAACGGCTTAAATTTATTATTCACGGACTGCTAAGTGTAATGCTGCTCTTTTTTAATTTTATAAAATTAATTTTTTTTATTGATATACCTTTAATCATAATTAGTAAAATTAAAATCTGTATTTTAATTTTTCATTTCTTAAAGATAATGTATATAACCCATTTAAACCATATAACATAATACTATAGGAACAATATAATCTTTGATTGCCCCTTACCATTATTATTTGGTACATATCTTATTTTAAAATGTAGATGTTATTTCTCGAAAAATATTTCCTGTGCTTTTTTCGAACTTTTAATTATTAAAATCTACTGTTATTTCTCCTCTTATATTCTAATGAATAATTTCTAATATTTCTTCTTTATTATATCCTTTATTTATTTTAAATGAAAATGAAAATATTTTATATTTTACCTTTTACAATTAAATAGTATAATTTAGCTAAAGCTGCTTCCAAAGTCATATCTGAACCATATGCTATTTTTAGGTTTTTATATGTATTTAGATCTTTTGCGTTTCCTTAATTTATTAGTGATTAAGATATCACAACTAAACTAATATCATTTTAATAAGCTTTTTCTATTATTTCGATGAACTCTTAATCATAAATAGGTAAATGTGATTATCCATAGCCAAGAAATATTATGCCTTTTATATTTGGATAGTCTATTAATTTACGTAAAGATTCATAAGAAAAAAGAGGATGATATTTAACAATTTCAATTTGGAAGTTTTAAGGAAAATCTTTTTCAATATAAAAATCTCCAGTAATTTCCTACTTATAAATGTAATTCCAATTAATTTATACCCCAATTTTTACTTATCCTAAAAGAGGATAACTAGGCGATTAAAAGCAATCCAACTTTTAGCAATCAATCTTTTTTGTTCTATTTGCCCTATAAAGCTTATTATGGAAATAAATTAGAACCTCCGGAATACTAAAATGGCCTGCAATACTAAGGGCTCCTAATAAATTATTAAAACAGTCATTTCTCATTATGGAGAGTGGAACCATATTTCCTGTAAAAATTATTGGTTTGGATAAATTTTCGATTATAAAACTTAAAAAACTAGCAGTATAACACATAGAATCTGTTCCATGAAGTACTATAAAAGAATCAAAAGAATTATAGTTTTTTTCTATTACTTCGCATAATTATTTTATAAATTTATAGTTAAAATATTTTTAATTTATATTTAAATCGTCTAATTCAATAATTTTGTAATAAATTCTTTTGTTGTATTCAGTTTACGGAGTTATTAAAAAACCTTCAGGAGCGTTTTAATAAGTAAAATTTAAATCACAAAAATACGAAATACTTTTCATCATATTATATATTGAATTATTTTATATCAAAAGGATACTATTATCACTTTATCCTATATCTTCAGCACTTATTTAGCCTCCTGCATTTATTATTAAAAGCCTTTTATCTTCAATTAAAATATTATTTTTAATTTATTATTTCATAATTAACTATTCTTTATTAAAAATTTCTAATAAAACTTGGCCATTATTTGGCCTTAGAGGGGAAATTAATAGAGATTAACTTTTAGAGCGATCTTTTATAATTTAAAAAATTAAATTATTTTAATAATTTTTACTACTTTCTGGACTTTTACATTATTCATTTTTATTTTTTGGACTTCCTGAATATTTCATTTTTTTTATAATATTTTTAAAATACTTATTTTTCAATTAAATTAAGAATTTTTATTAAATTATAAAAAATAATAAAAAGGTTTAAACCAGTTTTTAATTATATATATATAATTTGTAAAATATAGTATTACAAAATAATATATATAAATATATTCGGACTACAATAATTATATTTCTAATTATCTAATATTTTATATTATCTTTGTTTAAATTAGAGAATAATTAGATAATGAAAAAAAAAGATTTTTAATAATTTATTTTATAACTTTAGAAAATCTCCAAATAAATTTCACAAATAAAAAATCTCTAAAAATTAGACTCCTAATATTCTTTCCGAAACTCGAAGGACAAAATTCAACTTAGATTACTTCAGATTCAAATCAAAACTTCGTATCTAATCAAAAATTGATGCTACTTTGATATTTAAGGCTTACTAAATATTTTGGAAAATAGACTGCAAGATAATAAAATAATCACATAAATTTTAGAAAAAAATAATTTCTCATTCTCAAGATAATATATTTTCATTTAATTATTAAATTTATATTAAATAGAATGAATATATATAATAAATAATATCCTATAAACAATAATAGTGAATTATTTTTGTTATTTATTCTTATTAATAATAATAATAATAATTTTTTGTAATCAACAAAATAAAATTTAATAAATATAAATCAAATACAAAATCATAACAAATCGAAAAATCGAACTGATATGACTAGAAAACTTTGAACTAAATTTTAATGGTTTGTTTCATATTTTAAACAACATCATATTTGCGAAAATGGGACTAGCCCAATAGAGAACATTAATACTAATTCTTAAAAGAATTCTGCTCTTTTTAACTATAAATAGTTGAGCATTTTCTTATTAAAAATTACTTTCTGATTCTAAATCGGTTTTTCAAAAAACTTAATAAGCATTTGAATGTATTTGACTTAATTCATATTTCATTAAATTAATTCAATTTATAGAACATCATTTTTAGATATTACACCCCATATTAATATTTATTCTGGTATGAATCCAAATTAATGATTTCTAATTTTCCTATAGTCTTCTGCCAGTTAAGTTTTTTATATTTAGTTATTCTCTATCTTTAAATTTTTCTGACTGATTCTAGGGTGTCCTTTAATAGAATTACTGAGTTATTATAAATCATTATCAGCGATTTTGTGGTCTACCAGATTTTGGCTTGATATCTCCTAATTATTCTAAATTTTCATCCCAAATTATACTAACAGGTTGCATAGAACCTCTTAAGTTGTGTTATTTTAGTAGAATCAAAAAAAAAAAAAGGTTTTTATATAAAACAGATTTTTTTTTTTTTGATTTAGTTAATTTAAAAAAAAAATATAGAAAAAAAAAAAACAAGTTGAATTAATATATATATATATATATATATATATATATATATTATATATATATATATATATTTAAAGATTAATATATATTTATTTTAATAAAATATTTAAAATATTTTTTTTTATTTAATTAATTATATTTTTAAATATTAAATTAATATATATTTCATAATATAATTAATATCTAAATTTTTTATTTTATGTTTTTATAATTAATTAATTAATTTATTTTGATTTTATAATTTTAAATTATTTTCTTTGATTTAATTTAAGAATAACCATATACTTAAGTTTGATGATACTTCATACAAGAATTAAGTAATCATTCTACAAAAATCTTTTTTTTAGATATTAAATTCATTAGTGGTCTTTAAAAATTATTTTTATAATTAAATATTAATAAAACTATTACATTTTTATTTTTTTAATTAAATAATAAAATTATTTTATTTTATTTTTACAAGAATAATTTATTATTGCAAAAATATTTTGATTTTTATAAATAAAAATATTTATAATATTTTCAAAATAGTTTTATTATTTTCCTTTATAAAAATATATTATATAAAATAAATATTATAATATTTAATAATAAATAATATTTTAAATGTAATATACTTTAGATATGTCAGAAAAAGATAGATAGATATCAATTGCATTATAAAACTAAATATACTTAAGTAAAAAAATTTCATTGGCTAAATAAATTTAGTATATAAAACACTTATATTTTATTCAATCTATTGTGATATAAATTATTTAAAAAAATTAGAAAAAGTAAAATCTAAAGTATACTGTTTAAAAAGGCCCTAAAACGAAGTTTCAAAATAGTTAACTTAAAGCTTGAGGAAAAAGGATAAACTTCATGCGGACAAATATCGGTCGAAATATATAGAAGGGTAGCATTAATTTTGGACGTACAAATACTAAAACCCTATAATTAGTAGGGTTTTTAAATTATTTAATACATATAAAGCGAATATATAGTATCCGTAACCAGCAAAGTTACCATCAATGCCAATTTATAGGCAAAAGAATCTTAGATAGTGTGCTTACTAACACACTAGAATAAATCCAGTTGAAGGCGCAATATTGCGTTTGCCATCGAAATTCTAAACGATAAAAATTATTTCTAATACTTTTTGAAATAAAGGGAACTTATCATGTATTAGGATGAAGCCCAAAAACACTACTTTTCTTTATTGTATTAGTTTTATTTATTTGTTCATTATTTAAATCAAAATTAAATATTCAAAAAATAAGCTGAGTAATTTAACGAATATTATCTTATCATTCTTATAAATTATTAAAAACTAAATTTAAATTTGATAAATTACTACCAGATAGTAATAAAAACGAATTATTGATAAAATGTAAGAGTTTTTGTATTTATTTAAGATTTTTATATTAAAAGTTATATAATTTATATTTATATAATAGATAAAATGTAAGAAATATTACAATATATTAATTAGAAATAACCCTATCTAAAAAAAAAGCTAATAAAATCAATTATATATTAATTAAATACTTAAAAAATTATTATTATTTTGTAACATACTATTTAAACAAGTAATTTTGCTTTTAAAACAAAAAAATATATAATTTTTAATACTAAAATTATATATTTTATAATTTTAATAAAAATAAGAATACTATTTAAATAAATAATAAGAAAAAGAAATAAATATAATTGAAATTATATATTGAAGAAAAAAAATAAGATAAAGAGAATGTGGATAATAATTAAATTAAAAAAATAATTCAATAGAATAATTATATATAATAAAAAATTAAAATAACTTATTATTTTCGTCAAAATATTTGTAGTAATTATAATTTATTTAAATTAAAATCATATGTTATATGGATTTTAAAACGTGGAAAGTTTAATAATACTAATTTTCGCGGCAATTTTTAAAATTCAATATTGATTTTTTATAATATGAAATTAATATTATGTAATTATGATTTATTTTAAATTTAGTACTGTGTTATAAAAAAATAGGAAACCAAAAAATAATATTAATATCCGATTTATATTTAGTAATTATTTGCTTAATTGATTAAATTTAATATATTTAATAAATATGTTAAAAAAAAAAATAGAATTTAAAATTTTTAATTATTTTATAAAGAATTTTATTTTTTTTTAAGTCAGATTTTCTTATTTTTAAATTTTTATTTTTTGTATTGTTTATGAATTTAATGTTGGAATTTTCAAATTATTTAATTTATTATTATAATAATTATTAATTTTTCATATTTTATTTTTTATTAATTTTATGGTATTACTTTAAAATTATTGAATTTTTTTAAATAATTTAGTATTTAATTTTAATTTATATAGTTTGAATCCTCATACGATGAGGTTAATACTGTAATAATTTTAAACTTTCAGGCTTTAATGCTTTTATGAATAAAAAAATGGTTTTATTTAGATCTTTAGTCCTAGACCTCAATAAATCAAGATTTATGGTATTTATGAATATTACTTATCATATATTTATGAAAGCTTATTAAAGATTTTTTGCAATATATAATAATAAGAATTAAAAATATTTTTGAAATTTTAATGAAAAAAATTATTTATATAATAAAAATATTTTTATTTAATCATAATATTTTATTTTTCACTAATATATACTTTAAGCCATTTTCATAACAATTTTCTTATCAATTTCATCTTAATTAGGATTATATTAATCTCTTAATTTTTTTGATTTTTAACATATATCATCTATTTCGTTTGCTTAAGGAATTTAAACTTTATCAATAGCCTTTCCAAAATCAACATCAAATTCTTTAAATACATTAGTTTACATTTCATTTCCTTTAAATTACGGAGGATTACATTTAACAGTTATAAATTAAATTGGATCTGGGACTCCAAATTATAATTTAGATCTTTCTAAAGATTACTAACCTTATTATTTTAAATAAAATTCTTAGTTTAGTATGTCTTAATATTAACATTATCCAATTAATGTATTTCCTAAATAACCTGAAATCATTTTTATTTTATTATTATAAATATGTATAAGAAAAAAAATTATTAATATATATTATAAAAATATATATACATAAAAATTATTTTTTTAAATATAAAAAAATCTTTAATAAAAAAAATATAATATAAGGCGATGCTTAAATTATTTTTCTCGAAAACACTTATGAATGAAAAGTTCATGAGATTTTTAAACAGTATAAGTGTAGTATTTCTTTTAGTTGGAATTATTTACTTGCTTTATTTAGCTAGAATGTCTAAAAACGAACCTATTTAAGAAAATGCTATGAGTCCTAAACTGAACGCATACACATAACATGCTAAATTGATGGATATTTACAAAACAATTACAAACGAAATTAATAATTTTAATGGTACAAGGCTTGAGTATATTTAAGATTTTTTTACTAAAAACTAGATTGAATTTTAAGTTTAATAATTTTAACAAAAAAATTAAAGTATGAAAAATCTTACCCATTAAAATATTATTGGTATTTAGAAATCTTAAAGAACTAATAACTATGAATGTAATATAATCGCTTTTGATTTATGTAATATAATTTTATTTTATTTTTTTAAATAAAACATAATTTAATTGCTCAAAGAAAAAAAAGATATTACAATTATAAAAAATATAATATTATAGATTATTTTTATATTTAAATTTATAAATATTATATTTTATATTAAAAAAGCTGAAGATCCAAATAAAATTAGTATACCTTTTACTCTTTCTTTTATAAAGTACTATTAACTTCCTTAAATAAATTATGTTTCTAGAGATATAATGTATATAGGGTATGATTTCTAATCGAAAAAATATGGATATTCAATGGAAATGTTTTTAAAACATCATTTTTCTACATAAAATACATTACCTCATTGTGGTGTATTTAGATAAGCCCTAAATATTGATTTAGAGAAGGATTTTAATGCATTGTATTATAAAGCATTGGGGTTTGATGGAAAAGTTCCAGATTTAGATTATTTTTTAAATTATAATAAATTGTTCTATTTGCTTTTCAAAGAAGATTATAAATATACTGAATATTCGTCATCAGTTTGTGTATCGTTAGGAAATTTCTTAGAAAAACAGCGTAAATATAATAAAACATTTTTTATTATGAAAACAAACAAAAAAATAGTTAACCTAATTACATAGATGTTAAAGATAAAGATTCCTCCAAATTATTTCTATAATTTAAAAGGATTGTGTCATTCATTAGTAGCGGGTTTTTATGGAGAAAAACATGATGCACACTCATAACTTTAAAGATATGGAGTCCAAGCTGTAACTATAAAAGGAAAAAAAATAGGAAAAGCTGAATCAAGCTAGAATAAGCTTTAAAATCTTTTTTATTTAGTTGATTAAGGAACAAGGGCTACATATGCTTTAGATGAATAATTACATGCAGCTTCTACACTTTATTATCCGGTAAGAAAATAATTATAAATAACAATTGCAGATATACCGTATCCTACTATTTTTTTTGCATTTCCTTTTGCTTCAATGGGAACTTATTTGCATTAATAATGCTACAAAAAAAAATCAGTTGAAAATTCATGGCTTATTTGGGGACCTTATATTTATTAATTTTTACATTCACTTTTGATGCTAATTTTGCCAAGTATTGCTGAAAGTATTATGGGATATTAATTTTGTATTAATTGGAATGATTATTAAAACGAAAATTTTATAACCTTATTTACCTTAACTATATTTTTAATTGTAACAACGAGAATATTATTAACTCTTTTTTGGGATTATGTTATTGTAAGGGGTATATTCAAAGCTAATGCTAAACTTATTTACGAAGGAAAATTATTATAAGCATATTTTTATGGGCTTTAACTTTGTAAATTTTATTTTGTTATTTATATATATATATATATATATATATATATATATATATATATATTATATATATATATATATTTTTTTTTAGAATTGTTAGCTATTTTCTATATATTCTTTAACACTGGAGTAAATTAGATTATTTGTATTCTTTTTACTCCTTTACTTCTTTTTGCAAGACCTCTCTTACCTCGAAATAAAAAGGAGATTTTATACACAATAATTAATATTTTTTTAATAGGTTGCTTTATTTATT